CATGCATGAATGCTGCATGCGTCGGCAAGGGAGTTGTGCGTTCTGGGGAACAGCAGCAAGGCCTAGGGAGTATTTCGTTGCCCGCGGCCGGCTGGCCAATTCATGCCGCGGGACATCGGCACCGAGCTGGAAGTCAACGACGCGCTCGCCAGGTCGAAAGTGACCCGTCCCTTTCACAGACAGTAGTGGCCCTGCGCAGCACACACCGGCGCCAGGTGTGCGCGCAGTACCTTACATGTCCTTCGGAAGGATAATATGCCTGGAAATCGCAATTGGAGCGTGCAGCTTGTCACAGAGAACGAAGTGTTTATGGTCCACGTAGCTGCAGCACCTGCCGCCTGCAACGGCGCCCGCTGCCCAATTAAGCCCATATAAGGACAGGACAACAACCTTTGCGGTAGTTCAATCAGCTTCTTGGGACACACGCACAGCGCACTTTTCGCACATGGTATGCCAAGGTTTGTTGGCCAACCAGGCAGGGTCAAGGGCTACTAAATAGAAATTAAGGAGGATTTCATTATCAAGACATGAATACCGCTTATTGTTTAAGTTTTTCCTGATCCTGCAGGTTGTAAAAGTTGTAACTGCTACCTGACGCCATTTTTTTGTTTAATTATGTCGGCAGAGTGGGGGCGTCCCGTCGGCTGCGTCAATACCAGAGCCTGTGTTAAATAATCAAACGATAAGAGCTATATACAGCAGGGCTGATAGTGAACCACTCTTTATCGCGTTAAGGTTGGATATGTGAGCGACGGATAGCTCCCGCCGCGTATATGAACGCATGTGAGCGTGTGTGTCTGCTTAACTTATTATCAGAATAATAATAAGAAAAATAATAACAAAATGATAATAACAACAACAACAAATGATTATTACAGTAATGAGCAGAGCGCATCCATGGCCTGCAGCTGTAACAAGAAGTTCTGCCTTTGGCGGTGCCCGTGCGACAAGTTTCCCATCCTGGATCTCATTTCACGTCGAGGTGCATAGGATTGTGACATAGGATTACGGCTGTGACGTTTGTCGCCGTCGGAGAGGGAGCAGGTAGGGGACGGTAGGGGCAGCAGGGCTGCCCTGTGGGCAATGGGATGGATTGTAAGTGGAGGGATGGATAGGTCAGTGGAGCAAGCAGCAGTTTCACCAGCAGAGGGATAATTGGTGACGTTACTGCTTGGGGGTTGGGAACCCGCAGCAGCAATGAAAAAATCGGCCGCCGTATTTGCGTGCTGAGAGGTAATAAAATAATCGTTAAACTAAATTCTTTTTCTCAACTATGCAGTTTGCTCGATTTCGGGCGACGAATTATAAAGTAATTCAAGATGTGAAGTTGTAACTAACATATTATTTGTGGCGGTTAAGAAGCGCGAACGACTGTTGTGAGCGAAGCTTCTCGATTAGTTTTGAGGATGGGATAATGGCGGGCGTCTTAGCGGTCCGAGGCCGGACCTGGGATAGGGTGCAACCGGTGGACGCCAAACCGGCCGCGCGGTGTACGTCCTGTGGAGCAACGTGGCCTGCATAGAAGCAAGGAGACTTCTTGAAGATTCGCCCGCTATTTAGGATATGTTTTGTTGTGTTAACGTTATTCTTTATGACATTAACAGCTAGAAGAATATGTGCATGGGTGCACTACTACCCTACGGTGTTCTCCCTATGCGCTAGAGAAAGCCGTTTGCTAGGACATTAATAGTTTGAATGCGATTACGAGTTCAATTATTTCAACGAAATTGATGTAACTAGCATCGGTAGTGTAGGATTTCTCTGAATTCTCCTGCCGATTGTGCCGCAGTACAGCTGGAGAGCGCCAACACAACCAGTTATATTTTACGATAAATAAAAGAAAAGATATTTTAGTATTTAATTCAAGACTGTCAGGTAAAGGTCCTGGCATCCTAAATCCGACCAAACTACCAATCAACGATTTTCCCCCATTCGCTCCTCAACATCCTGGCACGCATAATCATGAAAGAAATCATCCACAATTCCTCAAGCTTTTTATATCGGCTTTGACGCTACATGTGGCTTTCGCAAAGCTATTGACGCATGGCGCCTTACGGCGCCAAAATTATGCTGCATCCTGAATGCACTGCTATCTCATCGCCTTGTAGTTCGTTTACAAACACCATAATAGTATCAATAACTATTGCACTGATGATTCAATGGAAACGCCACTGCAATTGCCTGTCGGTGGTGGGCACGCCGTCCGTACCTTGAAACTTAACTGCACTTTTGGTTAATAAGTACGCCCTACATGCTACCTTGCCCACCACTCCTTAAGGATTAAGTTGATTTTCAGACATAAACTATCATGTGATCTAAATCACCCAGCGAAACAGCGCTGGCCCGCTGAGCTGCGCAACCTATCCGAAAACCTGCAAAGGTAAGGTGCGAGCACCCAACGGCCTAGATTGCAAGTAATGACCCGCGGCGGCGTTCTGAACACTTCTTCTGAACACTTGTCGCGATCTGAAAAGCTTTCTCCTGCGCATTACCTTGGAATTCACCCACACCGGGTATCGGGATTGCCGAGGACATGGACGAATGGGCCGCCGCCGTGAAGGGCCGCCCCACTGTGTTCCGACAACAGCGGCCGCACGAGGTTGAAAGGTCGAATGCCTAAGCTTTATTTTTCAATCTTTGCGTCGTAGACATCCCGCAGCCCTCCGAATGATGGACACCGACCAGGCGGGCACGCGCTGGTGGTTTGTTATATCACGACTTCAGAAAAGTACCGATCGGCAAACGTCAGTCAAATCCCCTGATACGCCCAGGACGTTACACAGTTCCAATCTCCGCAAAAGGGCGGGATTCCCCAGCGAAGTCCCCTCGATTCCCAACATGCGGGCTCCCATCCGGGTTGAAAAAGCCTTCCTAAGGGTCTACGAACATTCCTATTGTTTCCAAGGCTTCACCTTAAGGCTTGCGGCGCTGCAGAGCGGTTCGGAGCAGTGTAATGTACGCTTCGAATGTCTTGCGTTAGCTGCTGCTGTTAGTTCGACGATATGAGAAGATCCGTAGTTTGGGGCGTGGTGAGCAATATCGACCGGACTTGAGATGAAGATAAGATACGTGGATTCGAATTTGATGACGGGATCTTGAGACCCAACCCCGGATGAAGGATATTGTGGCGAGCGGCTGTGAGTGAAAGTGAGTGCAGTGCAGTGTATGTATGTGTGTATGTGTGTGTGCAAGTACGTATGTAGAGAGGGACGACTTTTGTACAGAGATATGCGTACAGGTACGTACATGTATACATGCATGCAGAAGCATGTGGTCTGTAACACGTCTGGATGCGTTTCCCGCTCCCGAGCAATGCAGCTAGCTGCGAGGAGAGTCTGCCAAGAGGCTTAATCAGGACACCCTGCGGGAAATATCCCCGCCATGCAGAGAGCAGCGTACTCTCTGTATATATCCACATGGAGAGAGATGGAGCTCCGCCTCCCACCCACCACACACTCGTGCCTTAATAGGGAGGGGTGGGGTATGTACAGGGTTTCTGGGTTTCCTGTCTTAGTAAACCCTCACCCCAACAGCCAGATCAGGCCGGGGATGGAGAGGAGTCTTGTTGCGTGTTTCAGGCTCAGTGAACAAACTCGCGTGATGGAGCCCTGATTCGTGAGAGCGTGCGTGTGCGACGCCTTCCCCATCCCTGGGGGGGAGAAGAGCGGAGGTAGCGGTCCTGCGGCTCTCGGCTGCTTAGGACGGGACAGAGGCCCCTCGCGCCCCTCCCCCGTCCGCGGGAGAGAGCTTAGGCGGTCTTTCCATTGGGGCTGGGCAGCATCCCTGGCCAGTGTCAGGCCCGGTCAGATACTGTAACGTTGACACCCACACACACCCACACACACACCCACACACCACACACACACACCGTCCATTGACCGGCAGTGAGCGACGGCTCTCCCTTTGTCCCCTCTCCCCGCGGCCAGATTGGGGCTGACCTCCTGAGCCAGTGCAGGGCAGGGCAGTGCCGGGATAGCTGCTAGTCACCAGACGGCCCGGTGTGATCCTTAGGGCACAGCTGTAGACGGCAGGTGCCGGAGAAGTCACAACTATCTTTAATTTTTGGTACCCCACCGCGTAAATTTGCAGTATCCATCTACGGTATTTTCTTTTCGTCAATCGTCTGTGCTTCGTCGTAACCCCCCTAGAGCTACGGTGCCCCGGCCTGCTATGTAAAAATGTTAACTGGCCCTTGGTAGGTAGCCTGCGTGCTGAAAGCTTTGGATGGATGGATCGTTTTGCCGTTATGCGAGGGGGGGGTTCGGGGGGAGGAGGGAAAGAGGGCGAAATCCTGCAGCCGTCGTCCAGGCCAGGCATCCCAAGGTGATGGGCGCACTAATGATGGGTACCTTTTTGTACCTGGGATTCTACTGCATTGCGCTGTGGCAGGTTATGGCAATGTCTGGAGCCCTGAGAACGGTGATTTCGGGCCTGCTCGCCGTTCTGTTGAAGATGCGTCGCGTGGCAGGACCTCCATGGCCGCCGTGTGGAAACAGCGCGCACAGCAGAGGGGCCCTATCGTGTGACGGCGTATGAAGCGGGCACACCCTGGGATGCTGTTCCCAGCTGATTACCGCAAATTTTGTGAAGGGGATGTTTTTATTGTAGAACCCATGTTGTGCGCGTCATGACCTTAAGCAACTGGTGCCAGCTGGTATCGATAAACTGACAATAGCCAGACATGCTGTGCCGAGATGTTGAATCTGTGTCAGTGAAATTTTCCTTGCCGTGGACAGTTGCTTAAATCTCGTTTGTCATGTCCCAGCCGCTTCCCCCCATTGAAACGGCTTGACCGGTAGTACGACAGCAATCCCAAGTCTGAGCTTCGGTCACAGGAAAGTGTTTGTCGAAACAGGTTACCAAGGGCAATGTTAGACTTCCTTTCCATTTACGACGCGAATTGTTGAGAACATTTTGGTCAAGGTATATGTCGTCTTTGGCTCATGGCGCGTACCATTATTATACTTGATTAGAGGACACTATCAGCAGCACGGCTGCAAATGAGTGGTGCCCAGGGAGCAGCCTCGCAGGGAGCCACGCCACCCACGGCGAGCGCCTCCCATGTCTTATTGGTAAAAGACGTGTTATTATTTTCTCGGCGTCTTGTAAAGGACAAAGCAGGAGATCATATCAGCGAGGTGAGCTCCGTGCTGAAAAGATTGGTTCACAGGTGGCCAGGTGCCGGCTTAACAGTGCACACGCAAACAGCCTGGTCTTAGCAACAATACACATTTTACAGATTTAGCACATCTCGCGTATATAGACGGTTCTTATTGTTGCAGGTTGCTTGAGATCCTTACGTCGCTTAAACACCGAAGTTGTAGGAATTGGGGTCATACCTCGAATAGTACACAGCAAAGTTTTCTGCGCGGGTTGTCGGATGGGGTAGGCCCGGCACCAGGGGCTGCCTCCGAAGACAGGGCGCCTGCAGCTCACGCACTTGGGCGTTTCCCATCTTCATCGACCTCGGACATCCATTCTTGACACACCACAGCGCCCTGCCCTGGATTCTCCGTTGTCGCTCCCAAGCAGAGCCAGCGCGCGGCCGAACCGGACTTGCCACATGGGTATGCGTATACCTGCATGCCTTTTGGGGCTCCCAACACATCGCATCGCATCACATGATGCGTGCGCGCATTTCCCCGCGCTGTCTCTTTCACCTTGAACCCATCCGCATGCCCCTCGGGTCCCCGACCATGCCGCCAGCTCCCCACTGCTCCCTCTCACCTTACACCCTTACTAAACGGTGGTCGTCATCCGCCATTCCCTTTTTTCCCCCGCCGCGCTCCACCGCGACGCCCGTGACACAGCAAACACACGCGCCTCTCATCTCCTCCCACTCCTCTCCCGTGCCGAGACCCCCTCCCCTCCCCTCTGCGCTCAACCCTGTGCTGCCCTTGCCTCATACAGGTCCGCTTCAGCAGCCCCGTGACCCTAACACGGATTGTCATGGCCAGCCCGGCGCCGGCCGCGGATTCCCGGCAGCATCAGCAACACGTGGCACCGTTGCTGCGCGCTTTTGCACGTGACTTGCAGCACCCCGGCACGGCCCGCTACGCGCCGCTCTGTCCCAACAACTTATCAGTGGGACCCGGGGGACAGAGCAGCAGCTTTGCGACCGAGGTAAGCCCAGTCGGGTGGGGCAGCGGTGGAGCAGTGTGCCGTTCGCAGCTGTGGGCAGGGGCGTCAGGCCGCGGAATACGGCCCTTTCCCGGCGGTGCAGAGGTCCGGTACGCAGTAAGGGGCTTCCGGACGGAGCAGTATATCCCAATACAGTTCAGCCCCCATAACCTCTCCCTGCGTTTGTTGCCGTTTGGATGCCTTTTGCATGCCCATGATTAACGGGACACTCTCCCACACGCGTCCACCACTACCCCCAGCCGGTGGTCACGGATCATGTTATCCTACGCGGCCGTTACACGGCGGTTGAAGTACAGCTGTACGGCCGGGCGGAGTACGACCCGGGGGCGGTGGTAGTAGCGGCCGTCAGCGGCGCCGCCGCCTCGGGGCACCCCATGGCGGATGAGGACATCGAGCTGCTGCGGCAGCAGCAGCAGCGCCTACAGCAGCCGGCACCTGGCAGCGCCGCCGCCGCTGCCTCACGGAGTGGCGGCGGCGGGCCGGGCGCTGCAAAGCGGCAGCGGCTGTCGCAAGCTCCCATGTCGGTGCCACTCCGACCTCCGAGCAAAGCACGGGGGGAGGGGGCCCCCGAGGGGGAGTCGGGGTCTCATGCTGGCGATGGCGGCGGCGGTGCGCTGCCGCCGGCGGCGGAACCGGACGCGAAGCGGCTGGTATTGGATGGAATCCCACTCCTACCAGCGCCGCAACTGATTCCTCCAGGTAAGTGCAGTTATGCGCAGCCCCCCCCCCAGCTCTGCGTATTATCTATCTACTGTTTTATTATCTACCCCCGAAGCTCATACCAAGTCTGGGTACTCTACGGCCGCGCTTTCCCTTGCGCTCCGCATAAGCTGCCTTCCTAGACCCCCCTCCCCCCTCGCTGGTATCTTCTTCCATCGTCAATGGTTCGTCTTAACCCCCTCCCCCTCAATACCGGCGTAAATCTGCGCCTAGGCTCCTCCCTGCTACCGCTGGACCACGTGCCGCCGCCCCTGCTGGGGGCGCTGCGTGCCGCCGCGGAGTACTACGGGGAGGTGGGGCGCAGCCACGGCCGCATCGCCATGAACCCCCCAGCGGGCCGCCTGGCGCCGGTCATGGCTGCGGCAAAACACGTCTGTCGCGCACTTGCAGGTTAGTGAAGCGTAGTGGAGTGGGGTGTAGCGAAGTAGCTTAATCGTGGAGTGGGGTGGAGGCTCTAATGGGGGGAATACGACGAAGCACAGACAATGAAGGAGGGAGAAAAAACCATCGATGTTTACTCCGAGAAAAGACCATTACGACAGGAGAAATGGGAGGTGGGTCTCATGCGGGATGGAGATCCATATCAATTGAGATATTGGGGGCCTAAGAGGGGGGAGGGAGAGAAGAGAAGCGAACGAGCGAGCGTAGAAGGCAGGGGCTGAGGCTAGATGCAGCGGATGGAGGTGGGGTGCTAGGGGGCCTGGAGCTAGGGAGTGGTGGTGGTGGTGGTAAGACCGGAGCTTTGACGCGGCAGCCGGGCCCTTATCGAACATAGGTCACCGGGAAATGGTCGTGAGAGGCTCACGCAGGAGGACACGTGAAGAGTTGGGACCCGTATGAGAGCTGGAGCGTGGGGGTGGGGCGTGAGAGGGGGCTAGGGGTGAAGTAGTCACAGTGGGGGAAGTAGTCACCTCTCCATTCACTTCCATCCACTTCTCCGTCCACTTGCGCATCCTGACCCTGCCCACCAAACCCAAACCCCCTGATGGCAGTTGCTATTTTCATTCGACACCTGCGGTTGAATGGGCGTAGCATTTTGTGCGTGTAGTGATGACCGCCCAACAGCCAACCACCCACCCCGTTGCCCCCCGTCGCCCTCGCCCCCTAACCCTGCAGGTCAGACCTCCGATCTGGAGATGACTCTGGCCACTCCGTGTCCCCGTGAGGTGGCCCCCCTGGCTGCGGGGGAGCTGGAGTCGCTGTGCGATCTGGCCTGCGAGTGGTGCCTGCTGCTGGCGTCCGGCAGGTGGGCGGGGTGGGGAGGGGAAGGGAAGGGAAGGGAAGGGAGGGGGGAGAAACACATGGGGACGGGGGGAAAAGGCTGCGTGGAAAGGAGGAAGAGCCCCCGGCCGATGTATGGAAAATGAATGGGCGGGGTGGCGAGGGGGGTTGGATGGCCATGGCGGACTGACATGAGAGGAGGGAAGGGGGCCCGGGGGGGGGAGAAGGGGAGGATACGGATGCAGATGCGAACTGCTACGGTGTTGTTGAGGAGGGAGGGAGGGTGGGAGGGCGGTCGAGGCCCCCGGGACACGGTGCCCCCCGCCCACCAACTATTGCTTATTGTTCCCTTCCCGAGCCCTTCCTCCCCATGCCCGATTTCATGGCATACGATTCTCTTCCCCCTTCCTCCCCCCCCCATATTTTCGGTTCCAGGGCAAGCAAGCTCGAAGAGCTGAACGTGGGGCTGGCGGGTGTGGCCTCCGCGGTGCTGTTGGCGATATGCACCCCCTCGGCCCCGCTGCTGATGGCCATGGGGACCGCCGGACAGGTGGGATGGCGGAAAACGAAGCTGCAGATGATGGGGGGTGGGAGTTCGGGGCATGGTTGTAGGGATAGGGGGGCATGAAAAGCGAGCTGGGTGGGAAGACGAAGCAAAAAGGATCGAAGTGTCGACTACCCGACGACCAAAACAGACTAGCTGCTGGAGTCTGGAAGTGAGGTGGGGGGAGGAGACGGATGGCTGCCGCGGACACGCGTTCGGGAGCGGGGTTAGAACCGCAGCCGATAGAGCGCCCCGGCTGCGGCCGCGGCGATGCAACCTAGCCCAGCCGTGAAGCCGCCACAGTCGGGCCGTATCGGAGCTGAAAGAGGCCGTCGGCGGGATTGGAATTTGGAAGGGGGGCGGAGGGGGGTTCTTGAGGGACGCGAGCGGCGGTTACGGCGTTGATTTGGAAGACCCATCTGCGAGCACCTCCGTGTACCGCGTCTGTCTCCTCCTCACCCACCCGCTACCTGACCTCGTTGGGCGCTATCACTTTGCGAATCGCTGCAACTACTCCTTCCCATCCTGCTTTACATACATACATGCATATGTACATACATACATACTCACATACACACTCTCGGCTGCTGGACGTCATGCTCATGCCACGTCCACCTGACACCCGGTCTAGTCCGCAGCTCTATACCGCCGCCGTTGTGTCTGCGTTGCATGGGCAAAATGCCATTCACCCTTCACCCTTGGATGCCTGTATGTGTATGTGTATGTGTTCGTATATGCGTATGTGCACTTGTATGGGTGGGTGGGGCCCTGGGGGTGCTGCTGGCGTGTGGCCGTCACCGCAGGTCGTCCGGGCGCTGTGTCTGTCCAACCCTCCGGCCGATCTGGTGCGTCTGGCCGTGGCGTGTTGCGATGCACTCACACTCACCTGCCCGGCGCCGGCGGCGGAGGTGCTGCTGGCGAGGTACCGCCCTATGCCGCCGCAGCCGGCGCGGGGCGGGGAGGCAGCTGCAGCGGCATTGGCCGCGACAACGGGGACGGCGACGGGGACGGCGGTGGGGGCGGCGCGGGGTGGCGTCGAGGTCAAATCGGGAGCGGAGGGGAAGGTGGGTGGGTGGCGGAGTGCGTGTGTGAGTGAGTGAGGGTTGGAATGTAGGAGGCCCCCGCTGGATGAGGAGAAGGACCCAACACGCAATCCGCGGCTCAGGTGCTGGCGTGCGTGTCCGGTGTGAGAGTGTCTGTGTGTGCGAGTGAGTGAGTGAGTGAGTGAGAGTGCGTCTCGAAGGGGAGGTGTAACTGCACGCACGTCCAGGCAGGGGTTCTAGACTTTGCAATACTGCGCACAGCGCACAATGAAGGTGGTGGGATTCGGTGCACCCGCTTGCGTTCCTAGACCGGGTGGTCTGGTCCTGTTTGCCCTTGCGCCCATAGGGTCGTTTTACGGCGTGTTGGTGATGTAAAGCCCGCGTGTATTTCCCCCCGGGGCCCCCCCTCCCGGGGCGATGTTAGGTCAAGCGCGAGGCGGATGGCTCCGCGCCTGGGCAGCAGCCGGCAGACGAGACGAGCTCGATGGACCACCAGGCTGCCGTACAACAGGTGGGCTTGCCGGTGTGCAACCTGGAGAGCCTCCGTGTGTGTGTATGTATGTATGTATGTATGTATGTATGTATGTATGTCCCAAGCACTGGGATGTTGTTCGTCATCTTGCGGGTGAGGGTGCGGGCTGGTGGCTGGCAGATATCAGGCTATCAGGGCTGTCGTGCCGCTACCCTCATCGGCCACAGGGGGTGAACGGTGTCAAGGCGGAGGCTGCTAACGGAGACGGAGGCGCAGTGTACGGCGATGGGCAGGTGCGCGGCGGCGGCGAAGAAGACGATGATATCGATAATGATGAAAGCGGTGGAACGACGGCACGCAGGCGATCCAGCGCCTCTGGCGGTCGCGGCAGCGGCGACGGCGGAGGCGGTGGCGGCGGCGGGGGTAGCGAAGACTTGGCGACCGGTGACGGCGGCAATGCGGCGGGGGAAGGCGACGGCGGCAAGGACGGCGATGGGGGCCAGTTGAACCAGGCCGGTTCTGGCGCGCTGGCTCAGTCCGGCAGCGGCGCGGCTGCGGCTGCGGCTGCGGCTGGTGGTGGTGGTGGTGCTGCTGGTGCGATTGACGGCGAGGACGCCCTCATGGAAGGTGGGGGCCCTGCGTGGAGTGGACAACACCCGGGGTGGGAGAGTGCACATGACGGCCTGGTCTAGGGCAGGGGCGGGCGGATGGGTTATAGCGTATAGGAGTTGCGAAGAAACAACAACAACCCGCCCACTGGGGAGTGTGTGTGGGGGGGGGAGGGGGGAAAATAGGTAGGAGATGGGTTCGTATAATGCCATGTACAGTACATTGCCCGCTTGCAGTTGCCAGTTGCATGGATTTATCCCATACCCCCATATGAAGGAAGAGATGGGCTTTTAGGGAGGATTTTAGGTCAGCTGACCGGCTGTAGCTTTTCCATGCCGTCCGCTGCCCTGTATGTATGTATGTATGTATGTATGTTGTTACAGGGTGGTTAAGCTTCACCAGCGGCCCCCTTTCCCGAGGGAGTATGTATGTATGTATGTATGTATGTATGTATGTATGTATGTCCGTCGTGACAGAAGGTTGAACATGGCTCCGTTACCGCATGCAGATGAGCTTTACGCTGGGTATTATGACCATTTCGATGACGAGTATTACGCCGGCGGGGAGGAGGAGTATGCGGTTGATGAGGCCGCTGCAGCGGAAGGGGACGACGACGACGACGGCGGGGGTCAGATGGACGCGGCCGGCGACGGTGACGTTGAAATGCAGGACCAGGCGACAGGGGCGGAGGATGCGCAAAAGCACGGCCGCGGCGAAGAAGATGTTCAGCGGCGGCGTAGAAGCGGCGACGGCGACGTCAGTAGCAGCAGCGGCGGCAGCGAGTCGGATAGCGACAAAGATGATAAGTCGGATCAGGCGCAAGAGGATGATGATGACGACGACGGCGGCGGCGGCGGCGCGCCGCCGCAGCCTACGGCGACAGCGGCAGTGGCGCGGGATGCCAGCGCACGGGACGAAGATCCAGGGGGGCCAGGGACCGCAGTGCAAGCGACGGCAAAAGCAGCGGCGGCAGCAGGAACGACAGCAGGTCAGGCCGGCGGCGCCGCTGCCGCTGCCGCCGGGCGCCTACTAGGCGAAAAGCTGTCAACGGGACGCGGTACGGCGCCAGCGCCGTCGGAGGCCGATAAGGATCACCGCCCTGGTTCAGGGGCAGCCAAGGACGGGGGTAGCGGCAGCGGCCGTGGTTCATCAGGGCGGGGGAAAGGAAGTGATCGCGACCGGGATCGCGACCGGGATCGGGGCCGGGACCGAGGCTCTAGTCATGACCGACGGGAGCGTGGCAGCGGGGGCAGCGAACGCCGCCGCCGCCGGCGCGGGCGGTCAAAATCTAGATCCAGCTCACGGCCCAGATCGCGATCCAGAACCAGATCGCGATCCGGTACTCGGTCCAAAGCCTCGCGCGGGGGACGGTCCCGATCGCGGACGAGGACCAAGACGGAGACAAAGGGGACCAACGGTTCGGCGGCGGCGGCGCCGCCGCCGCCACCACCGCCGCGTCTGGAGCTCCCGCCGGTGTCCGCCGCGACGCCACTCCTGACCGTCATGTTGAGGCGGCCTCGCGCGCCTGCCGTAGCCGCCGCCGTGGCGCGTGTCATGCGCAGGCTGACGGTAGCGGACCTGGTTGGCAAATGTACGATGGCCTGCCATACGGTGGCGACGACGGCGCCAGCCGTCGGGAACGGCCCCGGCAGCGGCGCCGCCGCCGCAGCGGCGGCGGTCATGGAGGCCATGCTACCGCTACGGCAGCTGGCGGCGATGCTGCCTGACCTGGCAGAAGCAGCGGCCGCAGGCACCGGCGGTGCGGTGACTGGCGCCGCTGGCCTCAGGATACCCCTCCTCGGTTCAGCGCTTGCTGTGCTGGTCGTCCAGGGTGCCGGTAGCGGTGACGGCCGGCCGGCGGTTCCGGAGCCGCCGACGCTGGACCCTCCTGTACTGCAGATCCTTGCAGCGCGTCCGCTCTTCCTATCGCTCGCGGGCGCGTTGGACGCCATGCATGTCCATGCGGGAGTGCTGCGTAAGGCAATGGAGGCCGCTGCCGCCGCTGCGGCGGCGGCGGCGCCTGGCGGCGCGGAGGCGTCGGCGGCTGCTGCCTCCCAGCAGGCCGCGCTGTACGCACAGTCGCACCTGCAAGCGGTGCACCAGGCGCTTTTGGTGGGATTGCGAATGCTGCTGACGCCGTTGCTATCCACTCCCACAGGCCTGGCGTTGGTGACGGCGCCGGCAGCACGCGCCGGCGTTGCCGCGCTTATCACGGCGTTGGATCCAACGGCAGCGGATGCCGCCGCAGTTGCAACCGGCGTCGGCGCGCCTGCCGCAAGGCGAACCGTGACCACGGCAGCGGCGGCCGCTGCTGCCGCAGCCGGCGGCGGCAACGGCGCCGGCCCAGCGGCGGAGCTCGCGGCAATGCTGTGTGACGCGCTGGCGGCGGATGCCGCTGTCAGGAGCCTCGCCGGTGCATGTGCGAACGGCGTGAAGGTCATGGCAGTGCCTGATCAGGCAGCTATCTACGGACCCATGGGTCCCTCGATCCTCACGCTGCTGTACATGTGCGCTGACTCGGAGCCCGGCCGTCAGGCGGCGGTGCTCGCGCTGTCGTCGTCTCGACCAGCGCTGGCTACGTTGCTGCGTGCCGTACGTGCGCGCCCGCGGGCGGCCAAGGCGCTCGCGGCGGCGGCGGCGGGAACGGGAGTCCACGCCGGGGCCGATATTCATGGCGGCGGTCGCGGGGGGCTTCTGTACGACGAGGATGACGAGCACGACACGGTGTGTGTGCGTGTGTGTATATGTGTCTTTCGTACATGTATATGCGGTATTCCTTGGGTTATACCGCGATATGGCTATTTCCGCGTCGTACGGACGCTTTCTTGGCTTATTCCGTGCTTGTTGCTGAGTGGCCAGGATTGAATGCTCCGGCGAGCTTCATGTTTGGGCTTCTCCTGCCATGAAGACCTGATGCTCCTGTGTTGTTGCGGCTCGAAGAACTTCAACAACGTTGTTTAATGAACATAGACAGGCAGACAGACAGACAGACAGGACGTCAGCCATGTAATCACAGGGCGTCTAACTGCAATGCAGCAACAGGTGGCTAACCGTCCGCTAACGGCACTCCCACCCCCCCCCCGCGTCCCCTTCCGCTGCGGTCTCCTTCCCCCCCCCTCCACAACCCCCCCACACACACGGCCCACAGTCCTTCCAGGCGGAGAGCCTGTACGGCAGTGCGCTGCTGCTCTGGGTCGTCCGCGACACTCGCCTTCAAGCTCTGGCGGGCTGGCTTCCTATCGCTGGTGAGGACCGGGTTCACGGCATGACATGACTTGACTTGACATGGTTTGACATGGTTTGATCTGCTGGTGGGGGCGCTACGGTGCGATGTAAGGTATTGTAATGTTACAGAGTGGGAGGCTTCTGGGCCGCTGTGATGCTGTGTGTGATGTGATGCTGAGGAGGCCGAAGAGGGGGTCAATGCCCTTGCGCTGCGCGGCCACAGTCTTGGAACTGCGGAATGCGGTGCTGCTGACGGTGGAGTGGTAACGAAGCTGCTCAGCAATATGTAGAACCTTTTAAAAACGGTCGGTTGTTATCTCTTAACGAGGGGTAATAATTACCCCGCCCGGGGTGTCCTGGGACATTCCCCAAAGCCCCCAAACCCTCCCTCTTGCCGTCATGCTCAGCTACGTTTTTCATCTCCCCCCCACCCTTGCCCTGGCAGCAGCTTCGCTCGTTTGTGGTTCGTCTTTCCCCCCCACCCGGCCTCGGCCACCTCACCCTCTCCCCCACCCCCCACCCCTCAACATTGCTTTGGACTACAGCAGCAGTTTGCACCCTTGCTCACATCGGCGGCGGCTCACGACGTATGTTTTCCCCCTCTCTTTGCTGACCCGGTATATTCTCCTCCACTCGCCCGCAACCGCAACCGCAACCGCACACGCACCGTATCTTTTCCACCCAGTACCCAAACACCTGGCCCCCCTCCCCACCCCCGTGTTCCCCTCACATCCATCCTCACCCGAGCCCCAACCCCCAACAGTTGGTGCTTTGGAGATCAGCTGTCCTTGTGTTTTTTACTTTGACCTCAATAACTTTACTTTCCCGCCTCACCCGCCTGTTGCCCTGTTCCAAACCCGGACTGGACTCCAGGCGCGATCGCCGATGCGGCCCGTGCTGAGAGCGAGCTGCTGGGGACGTCCGCCAATGCGGAGTTGCTCAACTCCATCGGCTGCGGAGCGGAAATGGCTAGGAGGACTGCCAGGGAGCTGCAGGTGGGCAGGGGGCTAGGAGGAGGTAGGGGGGTTAGAGAGGGTAGGGCTAGGAGGAGGTAGGGGTTAAAGCATGCGTGCATGAGTGAAGATGTCTGTTAGGTTTGTCGAACAGCAGCATGCGTGCCCCCTCTCTCCCATGCAAGCTCTTATTTTAGTCTTGACGGCTAGGTAGGTAGTTTTCCACTGTCGTCATGACTCGACATCATCTCGAAGACTGCTTCTTCACAACCGCCGACTGGTCAGTCAGACTGCTCCCTGTACACCTGCCGCAGCAATATTTCCTTGGCAGCAGCTTCACTCGCTCGTGTTGCGTCTTTTTCCCCCACTCTCCCTCACCCATACATCTTTGTTTCTGGGTATGACAGCACCACTGCACACACACACACATACATACGCACGTACACAGCGAAACACGCGTGTCTTTGCGTGTATTTCCCAGTTTCTCACGCTCCTCCGCTGACTCCCCGGCCTTGCTCAGGGTCGCGCCGAGGCGGGTGTGGCGCTCATGACGGGGGGTGTGACGGCGCTGCTGCGGCTGCTGGAGGACGTGCTGCCGCGACTTGAAGCGAGCGGGGCCGTCGACGCCGCGGTGAGGCATGGGAAGAGGAGGCAGGGAGGGAGGGTAATTTGATCGACAAACTGAGTGATACTTTGGAATCGTTGTTTCAAGGAAATGCCGTGTGTTGCCGTGTGTTTGGATATCTTTAGCTGATTGGTTACCCAGTTGTTGCCGCTCTTCCTGGTCACGCGGCGGTGCCCGGTGGCACTGTGCTGCTTCTTCACCACTGCAGCAGACGCAGCAGCAGACGCAACAGCAGACGCAGCAGACGCGAGCCGCGAGCCGGGTGCCACGTAGCGTTGACGTCCGCGCCGCCACAGCGCTGGTGCGCGCCGGTGGAGAGCAGCGGGCCGCTACCGCTACAGCCGCGCTGGAGCTGCTGTCCGTGCTCATGCGTGGCGGCGCCGCCGCAGGTGGGAGGGCGGCGGCGCAGCTGTATGTGCAGGGGGCGCTGGGGGTTATGGAGCGTGGTGTACGTACCGGTACGGTAGCTGTACGGGCAACGGCGTACGACGCCGCCTGGGCACATGCCGCCGGCGATGCGCTGGACGCAGCGGAGCGAGCTCGCAATAGGAGAGCAGCGACATCCTTACTGGCGGCGGCGCTGCAAGCAACGTCGGCGCTGCTGCTGGCGCTACGGCCCCTGGCGGCAGCGCGCCCAGCAGCGGCGTCGCCTGACGGCGACGCCGCCGCCGACGCCAGCAGCGGCCTTCGCCTCCGCAGCCGCGGCGTCATCGATGCGCTGCTGGCGGCACACGCCACGACGGTGCTGTCGTATGATAGCCTGGCGGCGGCGCTGGCTGGTGGCGCCGCTGCCGGCACGTCCGGCGTGCCCGGCGCCCCGTCAGGGTCGTACGAGCTGCTGCCAGCGCGGCTGGCGGCGGCAGCAGCGCTGGGCGCCTGGATCGACGCGGGATGGGAGCCGTCGGTGCTACCGACAGCCTTTGGCCTGGCGCACAGCTACCGGAAGGACGCCGCCATTGATAAGGCCCATCTGGGTCTGGGGTACATCCTCGGCGCCGCTGGCGGCGGCGGCTCCGACGGGGGCAACGGCACCGACGGGTCCGCTGCCGCGGCGGCGGCGGAGCGGGAGCCCGCCAACACTTCTTTATCTCCGGAGCAGGGCTATTGCCTAATTAGCCTACTGGGCGACTTATTCCCGCGGGAGTGGCCGCCGCCGCCGACGCCCGGGCAGCAGCAGAGCGCCGCGCTGCCGCCACCGACCAATATGGCCAAGAGGTCGCTGCTAGCGAGGTGGGATGTGCGGGTGGCCGCCAAGTCGTTCGTTCATTCTTTCTTAGCCGGTTTTCATGACGGGATTTCCTTGGTAACGCATTATTGTATGTGTGTGTATGTCTGGGGGGGGGAAAGGGGCCGCTGTGGCGGCAGTGCAGTCAGAGGTTTGAGTGCCCGGCAAGTGGCACCATGTGCGCGGGGAAGTGAAGCGCCGTGGAGGCGTACGTTGCATCTGTGTACTATCTTGCCCTACACACCCCGCATTGCAGGCCCAGGCTTGTTATTTCCGTGGCGCGCGTGTGTGTATACATATACACACACCGTGGCGCGCGTGTGTGTATTGTTCCATATCTTGCCGGGGCTGACGACGCTGGCCAGGGGCTACTGCTCCTCAGCCCCAACGAACAAGACCGCCGATTTAGCACTACTCTCTCCCCCCCCAGGGGAAGGGGGAGGGGCGTGAGGGGCCGCTGTCCCCTCTCCTGCTCGGCACACAGAGCCTGAACCACCGGATATTTTGTAGGGGTATTTACACACAGGGGTATTAGGTCTACGGAGGAAAGAAAAGAAAAAGCTATCAGCCTCAAAGCTGTGCCAGGAGACCGCCAGACAGCAGCCAGTGGGGTGTGTGTATATGTGCGCGCGTGTGTGTGTATGTGTGTATATATGTGTGTGTGTTTACGGCTAGCTGCTGTACCGGGTGCACCGGGCACGTGTGGGTTTTCATCTCCTTGCCTTTACTAAGCCTCGAGACCTGCCAGGCAGGCTATCGGGCTATCAGGCAGGCACAGTGCTGCATCCGGGTCCTCAATTGACTGGGCCCCCAACCAACAGCCACTCGCACCACCTGAAACGCCGCGCAGCGCACTGGAGACTGTTTCGGGCCAGTTTCTGCGACTGCTGTCTTTTGGATACAACTCCGAGTCGCGGCTGGTTCGCTGCGCCACCGTGCGAATGGTCGTTAAGGCGGCGGGGCTGGGCGGCGGCATGCCCACCTTCCTGGCGGCGCCGCTGGTGGAGGCCCTGGCGGCGCTGGTGCGCGGCGGCGGCGGTGGCGGCGGCGCCGCAGCTGGTGTTCCGACGCCGCCGGCGCTTACGGATGCTCGGCGGCTGTTGGAGGTCCTGGCGCCGCTAGCGTACAAGGCGACCATCAAGGTAACCCCATGGTGCCGTACGACTCGCGGTTGTACGGCATGCACGGCAGAAGGTTTTCCTTTTGAACCCCCCTCCTCCCGTCCCCTCCACGCCGCCTCCATATTCTGGTTTCCTTTTTGCCCTTTTCCTGCTACGAGGGCCCCCTGGGGCCCCCCGCCCACGTGGCAGTGGCAGTGGCAGTGCTCTATCCGGACTGGGATTGGCTTACCATCGACACTTTGCATGCACACATCCTCACACACGCACACATCCTCACACACGCACGCACCCTCACACAGAGATGTATATAGATATGTTTCTGTTATACATTGCTCCGGGCCTGACGTTGGCCAGAGAGCGGTACCTAACCGTCCCGTAACCTACCTGTAAATACATCTCTATATATACGTATGTATGTATGTATGTATGTATGTATGTATGTATGTATGTATGTATGTATGTATGTATGTATGTATGTATGTATGTATGTATGTATGTATGTATGTATGTATGTACACACCTCGTATGTGTATGTCCTGCGTGGCGCATCGCCCGGTGGTGTCAGGCCGCCCTGCTGGACGCCCGGGCCGTGAGCTGCCTGTCTCGGTTCATCCACAAGCTCGTATCATCCTCAATCGGAGGCGGTGCGGCAGCCGCCGCGGCGGAGGCCGCCGAGGTGCCCGTCGTCACCGGCCAGGCGCTGGAGGCCCTGCGCCTGCTGGCGGACCCCGATCTGTCCCTGTCGCCGGCGGCTCCGAGGGAAACGCGACAACGGGAGGACGTGCCGTCGGTGGTGGAGGCGACGGCTATGGTGACGGCGCTGCTGAGCTGTCTGCCGTACCTTGGCGTCAACGCCAGCCTGGCGGCGGCGCTGCTGGCGGGGCCGTCGTTCGGGCTGTCGACCTACCCCGCGGGCCGTGCGGCGTTGCGTCAGGGCGCCGTGAAGTGGCACAGCGCCCAGGTAGTGCCGGGGTGAAGGGGTGGGGGGGGGAGGTGCGTGGGGGGGAGTTGGGGGTCCTAGCTTGTACACCGGCTCGCACCGCTCGCTACAGGGGGCGGGGGTGGGATGCGTCAGTGCCTCAGTGGGATGTGGGGCACTTGGGTGAGGCGTAACGGCAATCCCTCCATCGGACCAAATATCAACAGCCCCGTTCCCCCCGGGGGGTTGGGAGGGGGGGGCGCAGCCCAGGGCGGTGAAGTGGTCTGCGCCGCCGCGAGAAGGAAGTAGCTGGAATGGCTGAGGATGATGCACCGGTAGTGGTGGTAACTTTACTGAGCGAGTACCGGCTTTGCGGTGTGTGTGTCTGTATGTACGTGTCTGTATGTGTGTGTCTGTATGTGTGTGTGTGTCTCTCCTGTATACATGTGTATATACTACCAGATATGTATTACACGTGTAATTTCCTATGGATGGTACACTTACGCGTTGTGTATATGTATGTACGTATGTGTATATGTGTACAGGCTGGTATCGGTGCCAGTGGCGGGAGCGACCTGGCGCGACTGGTGGAGGCGCTCCGCTGGGCGGCAGGAAGGCTGCGTTCCTCCGCGGACGGCGCAAGGTCCTCCGCGGCGGCTGGCGGCGCGGCGGCGCAGGAGGGCGCGGTGGTGGCAGCGGCGTGCAGTGAGGTACGGCACAGACAGCGCGGCGGGCGTGGCCGTTTCAACTGGTAGACTGGAGGGGGCCGTGGTGGGGCAGGGAGCAGGGTGCGTGCAGGTTAGGCTGGCGCCGGCGGCGGTGTGACTGTGGTGAAGGCCATGCTTGTATATGGGCCTTGCGTGTGATGTGGGTTTTACCGGTTCCTGTGGTGGTGGTGGTGAGGGTGAGGGTGAGGGTGGTGGTAGGAGGCCCCCTGCTTATGCTGTCGGCAGGCAGCTGCGACATTTGGTGTTGCGTCCTGTGAGGTGTGCGACAAAGACACGTACGGCAGCGGCGAGGGTGGGAGGAAGGGGGACTTGTTTGTAACAGGCGGCCCCGGATCGACTCGGCCTTCCGTACGATGTTGTATGACTTAAGAGACCTTTTTTACCCGGTGGGTACTTTTGGAAGAGGCCCATGCCCTTACTGGCATTGTGAATTGCCTTTTTGTCTCATGTTGTAGTCTTTGTTACTGCTAGGGTCTGTGCTCCTTCATCTTCAGGTTGCCAAGAAATTGGAGGAGGTGGCGAGCTCCACAACGGAGGCGGACATTGATACAGACTTCCCGCCGCCGCCGCCGGCGCCGCAGCGTTTCGTGGCGGCTGTCACCGCCGCGACGGAGGCGGCAGCGGCAGCGGCGGCCGCCGCCGTCGGTGCCGCGACGGGCTCAGCGGCCGCGGCGGCCGCCGCGACGGCTGCCGTTGCAGCTGCTGACGCGGCCGAGAACGAGCTTGGCGAGTTGGGCGGCGGCGGTGTCGCGTGGCCTTGGCCGGCTGTGG